TAGACATAATATACTATTATTTAAGGTAGAAATTTAAGCTAAATTAGAAATTAGGTATCTAAGTAGTAAGTTATTTAAAAAGCTTGTAAGGAGATGTGCTAATATGCAAAACCTAAATCAGGACCTAAAACTAGTAGAACATCTTTGCATTGCAAGACAGGCTAGGTACTTTTTATACTTAAATCAAGGCTTGAAGATGTAAATTAGGTACTAGTATTAAATACTTAATATTGGTTACTAATAGCAGAAATATTGATTTTATAGGCGATAGCGTAATCATGAATGAGGAATAGACATGTTTAATCGTCCGCTTGGCCCATATCTCTCTGCACGCCATAACTTAGGAAGCAGCCTCTGACAGTTCGGTAAAAGTGGAGACACCTCCGCTCCGCTCCCCGGGTGCCGTTCACACCCGTCGGTCTAAGCCCGCGTTCTCCATTTGTCTAGGTATGTTTCAGCTTAGGGACTCAGTACATATGCTTCTTTCCATATGAGACTAGCATTTAAAGTAATAGTCCTCTAACTTAGTACCTACAAAACCAAGCTCCCTCGACCTCAAGAGCGTGTCGTCCTCCTGTTCATAGCATTCATAGCATTCATAGCAGAGATATCAGTAACGTCAAGCATGCCTACCTCGAATCAGGTCCATGGGGGTCGGCCTGGTCAGGTTTGGTGCGAAACATGTATGTAGAGTGTAGTCATCTTGGGCTGCTTACGAACTCGAAGGCATAGTATAGTATAGTTGATATCGTATACAGAAAAGACAATGCAGGACTCAACAATGCCTTACACAGACAGACAGACAGACCTTATCATCTGGAATGTTGGAGTTGTCTTGGCTGGGGACTGGCCGCCAGTACCTCACCGTGATGGAGATGGAGGGGGTATGGTGCAAGCACCCCGCCATAATCACGTGGCTATTCACTTACTGAACCTCGTCACTTTGACCTGATCACGTCTTTATTATTTCTCTATAGACACTACGACGACAACTACGGCAGTCAAGTTTGATTTTATATTGTACAACATGCCGATCACTGTCATTCTCGGGGCCCAATGGGGTATGTTTCTCTCCCTACCTATACTGGACTATAGCCTTCCTCCGCATCCAGCCGATATCGGTTCGAAGCCATTATACTGACCAGGACTCCCATAGGTGATGAAGGTGTTAGTACTCAGGGAAATCCCAACACAACAGATGGCACTCAGACACTAACCATACTCCAGAAGGGCAAATTGGTTGATGGACAGTGTCAGGAGGCTCAACTCTGTGCCCGAGCCGCGGTAAGCATAATGCAGGCAGAACCGAATACCTGCTAATCAACGTCGAGGGTGGACATAACGCTGGACATCTCGTGCGGTTAGTCAAACTCTTGCTGTGGATCTATGTATTCATGTGTGTTGTGTTGCTAACATGTGCCAAGTGTAAACGGAGTTTCGTATAGGTGAGAACCAGCACACGTGGAGGGACTGGATAATTGCTAATGCGGAGGCAGCTTTCACCTCTTGCCCTCTGGGCTGGCCAACCCAAGATGGTTTGTAGAGAATATTGGTCGTTCAAGATGGCAACAGTGAGGTTGACAAGTACCACAGCATGAACTTCATTGGTTCGGGCGTAGTTTTCCACGTGTAAGTCTTCATGTAGCCTTCCACTCCTAGCTCGACTACCACTTCAGCATCTTGTTGACGCCTGGCCTGGCCTGGCCGAACATGCCAATAATACTAACTCTGTGTTCTAGCCCAAGTTTCTTTAGCGAGCTCAAGGAGCTTGAAAAAAACCTGACTGCGGTACATGATCGGATCCTTGTTTCTGATAGGGTCAATATTCTCTTGGACCTGCACATCGCAGTGGATGGTCTCGAGGAGGAGGAACTTGGAGGTTCGTCCCATGCTTCTAACATTGTCCTTGGGAAATAACAGCTAATGTCTACACACTAGACGCAGCTATCGGAACAACAAGACGCGGTATGCTCACCCCGGGACTCCATGACGGATCATCCTTCTCTGCTTTTGTCACGTCATCGCAAGCATTCCCAAATCTCAATAGCGTAGAGAATCCTATCCAATGCCGTGCCAGCGACGCTATATAAGCAACGAAGTCTAACTTTCGCCATAGGCATTGGTCCATGCTATCAGACAAGTAGAGCGGTAAGAGAAAGCCATTATATTGGAGCGGGCTGTATGTTAACTTCCCCAGCGAACTGGCATCAAAATGGCCGATGTCTTTAACCCTGAAGTTTTCGAGCAGAAGTTGAGGCGTTTAGCCGATGGCTTTCAAAAGCGCTTCGGAGAACTGCTCAAATATGACATCGAGGGCGAGCTTGCTCGTTTTGATGAGTACAGACAAACGCTCAGTAAGTATGTCGTGGACGGCGTGGCCTTTATGAGATCCGCACAGGAGAGCAATATGAAGATTGTGGTCGAAGGCGCAAACGTAAGGTTCTCATCCTATGACTAAACGAGTAGTACTAACGCAATGGCGGAACGAGCACCGTGCCCACGGTCTCATAGTCCTCTCTCCTATTCCCGCAAGATTCTTTGCTCGGGGCAGGACATATTGCTCATTTGGGCATTCACTTTGCTGGCGGTACCCAACAAAGGGCCTGCGCTGTACTGAGCTGTGTATTTGTTCATGCCTCGGCAGAAATCGGGAGTCATACGGAGACTTGGCTTCTCCTCGTCTATTTGGCTGTTGATCGTGGTCCGTGGAGTTCATGACTGTTTATTCGAGGAATGCGCCTGGGATCAGCTTGGAGCAGACCCAGTCATGGCGTTTCGAGGTTAAAGCCCCAAACTGTGCTCAGAAAGTCTGTCGTGACGCGAGCCCAGGCCTTCCTGTCAAACCTCTGCGCCTCGTGGCATGTCGGTAGACCAGTATCAGTCAAGTCTCCTGTGAAGGAAAGGGGTTCTGGGACCTGGCGCTTGTACTTGTTCCCAATCAAACAGGCACTGATGCTAGATGTTGACTATGGTTCTTATCCAGTAAGTTTCTGCCAACTTGACCGTTTGGGTTGCACTCGTACTCATGATTAACTACAGTTCGTCACTTCCTCAAGTACTACACTTGCTGGTATTATCGGCGGACTTGCACTGAACCCAAAGAATATCACGGAGACGGTTGGAGTGGTCAAGGCTTGTATGTCAATTACTTCATGGCCATAATCTACTACTGACTAGCAACAGATACCACCCGTGTCGGGGCCGGGGCCTTCAAGACCGAAGATACCGAAGAGTGCGTCTTGAAACCCATCTTGAGGTTATTCTGAAGCTGAATGGTTAACTTAGGATCGGCACCAAGCTCCAGGAGATTGGACGCGAATGGGTGAGACCACAAGCTCCCTGGAGGTTTTGAGCTTCTACCGCTGACAAGACTTATCTAGGGAACGTCGACTGGCCGCAGACGCCGATGTGGATGGTGAGTTTTTGTGATGGCTCTGGGATGCTGACAAACTTACTGACCGTTTTCAGGCTTGGTAAACACAACCTCAAAACCTTTCGTAGTAGGGAACACAGCTGACAAGCACACACAGACCTTGTTGTGGTCAAATACAGTAACTCGATCAACTACTACGACTGCCTGAATCTCACAAAGGTAGAAAAAGCCCGTGGCACACGTCAAAGCGCTCTAACACTCTGCAGCTCGACGTTCTGGATACTTTCGAAACGATCAAGATCGCCATTGCCTACAAGATCGATGGAGAGGTCAGTGATGCCAACAAGATGATGATAGATTGTGGAAACTGACCATTCGGACAGGAATTGGATTCTTACCCTGCGGATCTTGATATTCTAAACCGAGCTGAGGTGGTTTACCACGAGATGCCAGGCTGGCAAAAGCCGACCACCAACGCGAGGACCTATTACGACCTTCCTAGGGCAGCCCGCGAGTACGTCGAGGTGAGCATATTCCCTAGGCTAGCATAACGAATAGTGGCACTGACCACCAACAGTACATCGAGAAGTTTGTGGGAGTCAAGGTAGGTGGACGCACATACTGACCTACAACGCAATTGCTAAAGTTGAGCAGATCAAGTACATTGGCACAGGTCCTGACCGTGAGGCCATGATCCAGCGTGCCTAAACATGCTATATAGAGAAGACACCTAATGCTAGCTTGACTTGGGTCGTATGTAAGGAGTGTTGGCTGTCAAAGTCATTCAGTGGTCGAAGAAGAGTTTGCGCATTTAGAAAATAGACTTGGGCTTCTCACAGATTGGTCATGCTCTAGACTTCCAACCCCGCATGGCCAGTTTGAGTTCTTGTATCGTGTAGATTGATGGCTCTCGTTTCAATGAAGGTCTCCCAGGAGACAATAATTGGACCAATGCTGATGCCTTGGATGATATAAGTCTTTGTTACCGTAGGACTGCTAATACCCCATGGCTGTTAAGTAAATTTCGTAACCAAAAAAGGTATGTTGATAAATCTATATACCTGCCTAATGCCTTGGAACTCCATCTTGGGTTATCGCTCTCCTGAACTGGTGCCCATCCAAGCTGAATCTACACCAACATTAGGATCATCCCTCAGCCAGTGACAAGGAAGTGTACTCACCTGCGTAGTCTTTTGATCCCATTCCTTGGTAAAACTTTTGATTTTCCCATCCCCGACTTCAAAGATCGCGTCAGCGCTCCACTGCGCATGTTTCCCTTGATTGGAGATACCTTTATACGGCTCTCCACAATGACTTCCCTGCGCCATGTATCTTAACAGAACACATCCATACTTAGCCCGGGACTAGCCGAAGCGGATGATTTCGAGGTCTACAACGCTGGCCATGACGGTGGAGTGAGAGTCGGCGTGGTCCACAGGAGTCTCGTAGCCGGGAAATGTAGCGGGTGCCCAGAACCAGCTGTCTGAGTGGCGGAGATGCTGAACCGATGAAGCGCTATTGTTTTCGGTGGTATAGTAAGCTATTCGTATATAATGTTTACAGAGATCTATATTGCTCTGTCATTGAACTTATTAGTATCAGTTGCGGACTACTGGTCGAATGCTTGCCTGCCCTTGCTCTGTCTAACAAGGCGAAATAACACCTGGAGGCTGCATGTTTGTCGAGATTACTGGATTCTTTTCAATCATTCTGGACAAGTTCAAGATTATTATGGATATCAAGACTTTTATAGGCGCATACCTTATCTATTTCTATCTCTAAAAAACGGTCGAGTGTGTGTGCTGTCAGAGCATCGTCACAACATTATTGTCTATGACATCAATGTAAGCAACAAGCACATAGACAGCATTCCATTATCAATACCCGACTTCTGTACTCTGTAAGCTCGGTGCCTTTATATCTTAAACACTATGAGCTCTTCAATAGGCAGTGCTTATGCCTGTTCTTGGACGTTGAAGGATACAAGTTTTGCATCTGGCACAGGCAACTTTGTCAAGTAGCAGTTTGGCTACGAGGCATCTCTCTACCCTTGAGAGACCTTATTGTTGGTTAACTATTACTTTGAACACACATTAATTCCGAGCTTCTTTGGGCAACCCATCTCGATATGCCTATAATATGAGTTCTGGCAATCTTGATATTCGATCACAGTGTTCACCTAAAAAAAGAGAGCCACGTAGGTAAGTTCTGTAGAATACACTCGGAATACATTCTATCCCAAAGTTTCATCATTGCGGTGGCTCAATGGAGGCTGAGCTCAGGGATATTGCCAAGAGGGAGTGATCAAATCCAGGGTCTACACGTTGAATCACAATCCACCCCCACACTTTAGCCCAATTGGTGACGCAATCATGTTACAGGTGTACCTAGCCCAAAATAGGTACCTTAGGTCGGCTTGGTCCAAGCTATAGCCTAAGCTTGAAATTCAATTCCCACTCGTGCTGCAGCTTGAAACCTGGAACTTCATTCTTCTAAACCCCTAAATCTCACTGACTTCGTTTCGTTATCGCATCGGTAAGTCAAACCAAACATACTCTTCTATATTCCCGCCCACCAACTTATCAAAGTCCAAGATGAATGGTCGCTGACCCAGCTAAACTGCAGATCGCCCTCACCTCTCCCGTATCAATTCCTAACAACTTCCAAAATGGCTTGCGGTTCCTCTAAATGTCTCTACGACCGCAACGGTCCCGGCAGCGCTGCCACTTCCATCGCCGAGTCCATCATCAAGCCCTCCGAGGCCACGGGCACCAAAACCAAGTGTATCGAGTGTGGCGACTACGAATGCTGCTGTATCCCCTGCACCATCCTGTAAAGGGGGGTCGAATAATGATATGCGTTGCGAGGCAACAATGCCGGGTGTTTATTGTTTGAGGAGAAGTGAGCTTTTATAGTCCTTTGTGCGTTGCGTTACAATGCTGCTGGGAAACATAGCGCAGCTGAAGAGTGTATATTGAATCAACGACTCCGACGAAGTTTATGACAGCCTTTTGACAGCCCGAAGCTTGGCTTGATGCGTGTGCACTTGTATGCGCATAGATGCTGAAGTTCGCTCCATGTATGCCTGCCCAGTGTGGGAAGACTGTATTGTTTGTTGGGAAGTTAATCTTTTCAACTCCCTTGATAATAATGTGACGGTGTGGACAATATCTGATGCTTATTCCAACACCCGCCCTCAAGTAAATAAGGTATCTGTGGCAGCCCATACGTCTGCTTCTCTTTGTTTCGCCAACGCTTCCACATCTTCCTCCTCGGTGTTCTGTCCTAAAGCCTTGGGCACGTTGGGTACGCTTAGGCTGCCCAAGCCATCGAGTACGCGGCGTGCCTTGTCCACCTGTATCCGTATGGCCATGGTCTCAGCCCGCGTACGGTCTAGGTGCTCTTGCATGAGCGCAATGACTGATTCGCGTGCTTGATGTGGCCGGTACTCGTTGAGGATGTGATGAAAGTTGATGAAGAGTGTGCGCAAGTCTTGCACTTTTGCTTCGGCGTGCGATGGGTTATGCGATAATGTCCCAGAGAGCTCGAGAAAGTTTAATAGAAGCGATTTAGCAAGTCGTTTGAGCTCAAAGGCGCGATCAAAGCGCTTAGCATCCTTGGACTCGGGCCGTGATGATGAGGGAAGATTGGTGATCCCTTGATCTTCGAGAGTTGGAAGCTTGTCGTCCAGCTAAACCCTCATTTAGTCAAACATCTTGTAAAAATAATCGCAGTCGCTTAACCTACCATGTACTGATCGCCAAATACACGCCAGCGTCCATCGGCTGGCTCGGCCGGAGGTTGCAGATTGACGAGATCTTCGGGAATACCAGGCACGCGGACTGTCAAAGGATCACCACCATGTTCCGTGATGTATGAAGTCCTTAGTTCTTGAATCCGAGAAATCTTATCTGCTGTAAAGTCTTGCCAAAAGGGAGGCGGGTTAGGGAACATGGATGAGAGCGAATGGCCCTCTTGCTGTTGTTCGGCCATCTTTCAGCTCTCGTAGGAAGATCGCCTCACAAAGCAATCTTATGGGCAGTTATATGAGCAGAAAATAAGACGCCGCGTTAAGAAGGCGGCTCAAAAGACAGAGCAGGACAAGGATGGTATGCGGTCCCTTGAGGTGGACGTTTCCTAGTGGGGGAGTGAGACTCTGGTGGGATGGCTGGAATCCACGTGGATGCAACTGCGGTCAAAGCTTTTGGGAGCTTGGCCACCTAGATAGTGTTGTATTGCTTCAGCAAGTCTCAATGATTTGAGAAGGTAAATAAAACTTAGTATCGTTTTAGTGTTGTGCCGTGTGACCTTCAAATGATACCGCAAACAGTCAGTGACCCTCCCACTGAAATGGAGTGAAGATCGGTTTGCGCCGGTTAATCGTCGGCGGTTGCTCACCTCACACCTCTTTGCTACCCTTTGACGACCTTGAATCTCTACTATTCAACGTCATAAGCATGACGCATTTCTTTCTTTCTTTCTTTTCTTTTCTGGCATTCGTCTTTTCTCTCTAGTCCTATTCCTCATGAGGCAGCTTCTCTTGATCTTCTGAGCTCAATTGGAATCGCGAATTACAACCAGCTCATATACTTCAACACCTTACTCTACCTGTGGTATTTTTCATCTACCACATTCCTTTAACGTCACGAACTACGGCTCTTCATCTTCATCTACATCCATGTCCGACGTACGCTCTCTTTTGCGGCAACAGCGCGCCGCTCGCCGTATCGAACACCCATATGCCGTCTATTCTGATGCGGGCAAACTTCTATGCACCCTCTGCCACGAGCACATCAAGACCGAATCGTTATGGGACTCACATGTCCGAGGAGAGGCACACAAAACTCGCTTAATAAAAGTTCAAACAGCGGCATCGTCCAACGCTCGAGCTTCACAACAACAGACTTCACAAAAACGGAAACACGACGATAACGAGGAGGCTATCGACGATAAAGACGGAGATGTCGAAATGGACGATGGCAGGCGGAAACGAAATAAGACCGATGGAGTGGATGGAATGGATGGAGACGGAGATAGGGATAACAAGGACCAGACTTTGACGCCACCTCGATTGACTAGGAGGACGTCGACTACACCGTCACAAGGGGTTGAGATCCAAATCCCATCGAGACCAGCAACACCAGCCCATCGAGATGGCTCTTCCTCTTCTACCCCTGGAGGTCAGCTTAATAACCTGGTCTCACAGTCTACAACTGCATCGCTCCCCTCACGCCAGGCCAGCAGTCTGACTACAGACGAGCGCCTTACATCTGCGGCAGCAATAGCGGTCGATGAAGCAGAATGGGCAGCCTTCGAGGCCGACATTGCTGCTACAACAGCCACATACGATGAAGACGCGACTATATCAGCCCCAGCCATGACGGCAGAACAAGCTGCCGCTGCCGATGCCCAGAAGGAGGAGGAGGCCGAGAAGCGACGCGCTCAAGCTGATGTCGATCTCGAAGACGAAAAGGAGGAAGCAACCCGTGCGCTTGAAGAGGAGTTTGAAGAAATGGAAGAGCTCGAAGCTCGCGTGAAGCGGTTAAAGGACAAGAGAGAAGCCTTACGGAAACGTGGTGAAAGCTTCAGTCAAGAAAATGGCACTGAAAACCCTACAAGCTTAGGCAAAGAGAATCTGGACACGCCAGCTATTGAAGAGAAGGAAGAGGACGACGATGACGAGGACGACGATGAAGAAGATGAATGGGATGGCTTCAGGTTTCGAACAGCCTGAGCAAAGGGACTTTGTACATAACCATGCATGATAGAAAGATACCACTCGTGAAGGGCTCGCCGATCGCCTTCACAGGGCCCAGTACTCATAACGGAGTTCGTCGATTTTGTAGCATCACCACATCGTACATAATGTATCATACAAGCAATCCTACAGACAGGACGAAAGCCACTGCTACCGCTGACGTCCCCCTGCCAGAACTGTGACCAATACAGAACCGAACTATAGAGGTCCATCATGCATGATTGCACACGCAGCCTAACAACGATTCACCTCATAGAAGCTGATATCACTGACTTACCAAGCACTGTCTCGCTCCTCACCACGACTGACTCTTTCCCAAAACCTACGGAGGCGCCACACGCGTCCTATGCCGCGGCTCTCCTCCCATTTTCTTACGCCATCTTGACGCTCTTTGACTTCACGCTTCCATCTCGATGCAATCCACTGTCGCAACCCGTCCTTAACTCTCTCTTTCTCGATTGCCTTCTTCTTGGCAACAATTGCTGGCGCCACATGCACTGACGACATACCAGGCACGCACTCTTTGGGTAACACAGAACGCTCAACCAAGGCTAAGGCTGAGGGTCTGGCTGCCAAGCGGCGAGACAGTCGGATTGATACCAAGGATCGGGCCAACTTTCGAGAAACTATGGAAGTATGTGTCATGAAGATTGAACGAGTAATGAGATCAGCCAGTGTTGGACGAGATGGTGACGATAGGCGTGACGGAAGGTTAATTCGGGCTCGCTGAAGCCGATAATGGTGTAAAATAGGGGCTTGAGAGATATCGCGAAGGAGATGGCTCGTCTAAATCTGTATCAGTCTGTGTTCCCAAGGTCTCGAGCTGTCGGGACCAATTCAAGGTCCCATGAATGATCCCGGGATGCCAATAGGAGAGTAGACTTTATTCTTGCTAACGGTAGGTAGTCGATACTTACTCTCGACGTTGACAGAAGGTCGTTGACGTCCAGGAAACCCATAATGTGAAACAAAACCTCGTTTGGCAGGTCCTCGAGGGAGGGCGAAAGGAGGGCATTTTGCAGTCTGATACAACTGACAGCGCTTGTCCTAAGCGATGAGCCTGGGCAAACGTCGCCGGTCGCAAAGGTCAGGCAGGCTACCTCTCGCGGGATGCTGGGGGCGATTGGGCTGGCTGCAGATCGGGCATCAGTGGTCACGAACATCGCAGGGTAGGATCTGTTGACATCCTCGCCCGGAGCTAAACAGCCAGCGTTCTCGAGACGGGGTGAGCCATACGACAGCCCATGTACCTGTGAGGTGAGCTGTTCAGGCGATGTGGCAACAGGCTTCATGACGATCTAAGTAATTACCCTCGGCGCTATTTGCAACAAAGGGTACTGCGAAAGGGTGTGAGGATGGGGGTATTGGTATAATGCGTCAACCCGGCAGGCCCGAAGTCCGCGAAGGTCCGGCAAGACGGCAGAACGCAACCAAGAGGCGAGAGGACATAGGTGTCAAGCAAGTGTCGAGTGATCGTCACATGTACAGCTAGGTTGAGGCTCTAAAGACCTAGCAGTGTTGCTGCGCGTGATTCCGACAGACAATGTGGTGGGTGATGGACTTCCGCACAAACAAGAAGAATACGGAGAACCCGGTGGATAATACAGAGTGGCGATGAGGCAATACACGACGAGGGATAAACACGGCGCGTAAGAAGTGCGGTCGCTGATACGGCCGGTCTGGTCAGTCGGTTGTAACCACAATATCGAGTAAGGAAACAGCAATTTAGGTAGAAATTGCGGCGGAGCCAGCGAGACTTTGTTGTCGTCGAAGCTATTATCCACCGAATATAGAGTGGCTCGATGTGTTGGAGCGACTCAGTCCGTCGAAGGCGACGGTTTCAATGTTGAGGCTAGAGTATTGACTGATGACGCGTAGGGCGCTAAGAAAGGTGAATAGGTAGTCCAGCCGCTAGGTGAGCCTCAAGCTATAAACCCTGATAGTACTGCACCGATTTGAAGTAATTATTGTGCTTTATCGCAGATAGTAGGTATGCAGCTATCACTTTAAGAAGGTAAGATAGATGATGTGAGTATTTGAGTCGTGAGACAACATAAAGTTCGACATGAAACTTGGAGTTGAGGGGAAGTCCATCAAAGTGGAGTGTGAAGGACGTATTGGGTTAGCTTATATGGAGGTTAAGCGCAAGCGTTAATGTCGAACTACACTAAGGGCGGGAGCCTAATAAAAGGCATGGTGATGACACCCTCTATTGGTCAGCCACTTCACAAACTCTTGTTAGAAAACAGAACAGTTGCAGGGCTGTAACTTCAATATAACTCCAAGTTACTCAAGATACCTGTACAGTTTAAGCAATGAAGAAGACAAATTGGTAAGGTAGTCAAGACTGCATCAAGACTTTGTAAGCAGTGTCACTTAGGTAAGTACTATTGTAGGTAATAACGTTGTAGGAACTTGGACGCAAATCATCCAAAATCATCCACAGGACACCTGAGGAAACAAACACTTTAATATAGGAGGAACTCAAACTGCACAAATTATAAAGATCAAATAAACAAGCTCTATTCTTCAGATAGCGTTTACTTACACTCACCATAGATGATATATTCAAAGTCATTGATGAGCCTGTTGGGACTACTTGCCTAACCTGTAGCCTAGCAGTGGCTTCCGGCTATTCTTGTTTTTTTTTGTTCATTCTTGCTTCCCTTTTTCCCTCTCTGTACTTGTATCGTTAGTACCTGCCGCCTCCTCTCCTGCGTTCCCACCTGGCCACTTTCGGGACCAACTTGGCCTGCCTTTATTGGCCTATGCCTTATCTTCACCGCTCTCATTTTCAGAAGAAGAAGAAGAAGAAAAGGGATAACACGACGGCCCAACGTTAATATCACCACCATCCGCCCGACAACAACAACACCAAAACACAATGTCGAGTTATCCACCTGCAAGCTACCGCAGGCACACCGGCTGGTGGAACCCACTTATTTACACCCGCATACAGCACATCATACGTATCACATCACATCACATATCCGCATTCGCATGCATATGCTCATCACAGCCACCCGAAAGATCTACTCCATCTACCTTCTTTGATGAACGATTGAAATTCGGCCCCGGAACCTGACCCTAATCCGCGCCATGCGTCGATCCAAGTTTCTGTTGTGGTTGCGGCACATTTCCTCCGCCTCGAACAGCTGCCACCGATCAATAGCGATGCGCTGGCCAAGATCAACGAGATATCCCCCTTGCTCAGTTCGTGCGGGATGAACGTGCAATGTTCATGCAGCCTGCAGTTCTCGCTACCTGCCCTTCCTTCAGCTCAAGCTGACGTAGTTATGCACGTGGCACCTTATTCCTCCATCTTACCACAAAGCATGAAGTGTTTTTACCTGCATTCCGGACCTCCCATGCGTGGGACTGCACATGTCATTTCACACGATTGCTGAGCCAGGCAACTTTTGGGGGGAAAAAACGGAAAAAAGAAAAGAAAAGAGAAACAATCATCACTATGTCAATGGTGCTCATCAATCCTACTCTCACACCCGCGCGCTTCCTCGGCGTCGTGACGTGTTTACAAACCCACCTGAGTCTGCGACCGAATTCTAGACCATGACAGACAGTGAGGAGCAGGGGCTTCAATTTCAGACCCCAGTATCGTTCAACAGGCGTACCTACGGTAGGCGTGTCAATTGCGTCCGTCGAGTCACAAAGCGCTGAATCGCAGACTCAGACCCAATTCATTGCCGCATGATGTCTCGGACATCGCCTTTGTCGTGCCCTGAATAAGGATTGTCGCGTTTTGCGCGTTCGTTTCCTTCTATGGATACCACACTTGGCTTTCTCCAACCATTTCCGCAATTATGCACCTTTGCGAGCTAGTCGAGAGCCTTATCAAGATGACATTCAAAAGAATCGTTGTCTCCAGATTGTCAATACTACACCAGTACACCTCGCTCCACACTGCCGCGACTGTGTCTTAAGGTTGTGGAACAAACCAGGACCTCAGCCCACACCCTAATTTTTTTCTCGAGGGGACCTGCCTCCTGCCCTTGAAGGGCAAGAGAACAACGACCTTGATATGGGGTGTCAAAACAAAACCAGTGAAAGCTATCCTACGCTTAGGCTATATCACCTAAGTCGTTTTGTCATTTAGGATTGAGGTTTTCAGTTTTTCTTTGCTCCCCTACCCTGCTCGATTTGCGCCTTCCCTAACGAACTCAACGTGCGACTTCCCCTGGTCATTCAGCCTCAGCCTCATTACAATCGTTGAAAGCCTAGCATGGCAAGCATCTGTCGTTTGTATCTTGTGCCCTCATTAGATCTTGGCTCCCTGGGATGGCCGTGGTTGAGATCCTGCTTCCGGCCAATCATTGCTTTCTACATGCATCCATGCGGCGACAATGGAAACATGTCTGCCGTACAGGAAGACCCATCCGAAACCGCTGATCCCTGACTGACCCCCTGCTTGTCAATTCTCCCCCCACATGGCTGCATGGCTATAGCGCTAGCTTTCGACATCCGCTCTAAGCTGCTCTTTCGATCAAAGACACTGCCGGAATGCAGACGGTCTAGATGACACAAAGTCAGAGAACCGATATGATGTGCCAGAAACCATCCCGTACCGCATGCTTGCACACTGGACAATGCGAAATGCTCCAGGTCGAAATGGGTGTCGAGCCTGGCGAAATGCCGACACGTACCGTACCTTCTTGTGGGCTCGCGAGATCTTTTTTTCCAATTGGCTCCAGGTACGATCGGACGCGCTTCCTCCCCGTTACTTGTAAAGGGGCTCCATGCAGCGCTTTTCAGACACATGATTTGCAGCAACCCAGGTGACTGGTTCAAACTCAAACTCGCCAGATCTGGTTGTGGCTTTCCAGGCTCTCTGCTCATTGGGCGGTTCAGAGTCATAGAGTTACCTTGCCTTAGACTATGGTTCTACGGTCAGATTCCATATTCAGCGCCGTGATGGCCTGTCGAGGCTTCGTCCTCTACTGTTCTGTCCTTGTTCAACC